GGGCGGGGCCTCTGGCCCACGTGCCGCCCCGCCCCCTCAGTTCCTGCTCTGGCTCAGGCAGCTCTCGCAGGTGGGCTGGCCTTCAGCCCTCGCACTGCTGCCGCCAGGTCAGGGTCTGTGGCCTGGCCGGGAGCGGGAGGTATGGGGGTTGGGCAGAAGCTGAGCTCAGGCAACGCAGGAGGGCCAAGCCCAGGCAAGAGTCCAGACTGACCAGCAGACAGTGTCACATTGCAACACCCACATTTATTTGAACTGTACAAGGTAAAACACAAAAAACCCTCAGGAAAAGAAGCAACAAACACATCACCTATGTTCAAGGTCTTGACTCACATAGTCCTGGGCCAGTCTAGGGTGGAGGGGTGCAGCCCCCCAGCCACCCTGACCCAGCATGGGGCCCGTGGCCAACCCAGCTGCCTGGCTGAGCCTTTGCCTGGGCCAGGCGCCTAGCTGCCCCACAGGGCACGCCTGACCCTGCGGTCCCTACCGCAGCTCAGTGGCTCATGACCTCCCACACCAATATCTCATTGTGGGCGACGGTGAAGAGCAGCCGGCTGGATGGCGCAAACCTGCAGAGCTTCACCGAGTCGTCATGGCCAGCAAAGTCCTGCACGGCTCCAGACACACAGTCCACCAGTGTCAGCACACGCTCTGTAGGCAGACAGCCCAGGGTGAGGTGGGGCAGTGCAGGTAGGGTGCCATTGGCCCTGTGTCTGTGTGGCTTCAGGACCCAGAGGTCCTCCAGCCCACCCTGGCTCTGTCTCCAGCTGGGTGCCATGCCTCATGGGGGAACCCAGCACCCCACCCACCTCATCTCCTGACCCTATGACCCCCCAGAGCAGGTGTCCTCATTGCACTTCAGGGAGGAGAAACCCAGGGCCCAATGGTGAGAGGCATGACTCAGTGTGGAGACATGGGTGTACCCACTCAGCCCTACTCAAGACAGGCTAGAGTCCACACCCATCAGCACTCACCAGCAAAGCCAATGGCCACAAGGCGGGCCCTGGGGGACAGGCTCACAGACATAGCAAAGAAAGGCAGTGGGATCTTCTTCACCACCTGCAGGCAGCAAGCACAAGGCACTGGGGGGTTTCCCACAGCCCCGAGACCCACCCCTCCCCAGCCCTAGGTCCCTCGGGCTCCCAGCACTACATGGAGGGGTGCACCTGCCTGCTTCTGGTAGAGGCTGTAGAAGACCACCTCAGGGTGCACGCCAAGGCCCACACACACCAGCAGTGCCTCATCCCAGGGGCAGAAGGCAGCAAGGGTGGGTGGCAGGCAGCCAGAAGCCTGCAGAGGACACAACACATTCATGTTGTAGCACGGTGGGCAGCATCCTGCCACAGGGCCACCAGGGCTCTTACCTCTGTGACGACGGGTGCAGGGAAGCTAAGCCAGTCCACGAGCTCACAGTGATTCCGCAGCCAGTCAGAGGCCCAGACGCTCACCCGCTGGTCTCCACTGGCGGCCAGCCACAGGTCCATGCCCTCTGCCCTGAAGTCTCCGTACTGGGGAGGTAAGGGTTGGTGGGTACCTCCCACTCCACTCTGCCTATCTCCTTCCCTGCCTGCATCCCCAGGACGGGCCCTGCCGGCTCATGAGGCCACTTCACCTCTTTTCTCGTGCTCTGGATGGTGCAGATCCCAGCGCCTCGGTGGTCACTCAGTACACGGAAGGTCATCCCCGTGCGAGGACGGCTCACAGCCACGAGCCCGTCCTTGTCTCCAGAAAGGATGGTCTGCCCTGGGCCAGGCAGGAGCCGTGCTGTTATTTGTGAGCCCCTGACCCTCAGCCCAAAGGTGTGATCTGGGCCGGGCAAAAGCCACGCTGTCACTGCATGAGCCCCGCCCCTCACCATCAGCAGAGAAGGCAATGGCTGTCAGTGCAGCCTGGTGGGGGTGCATCTTGAGCTCCATCGCCGTTCGGGAAACGCTGAAGACCCGTAGGGTGCCATCACTGTAGCCCGCCACCACCTGCTGCTGCTCTGGGCGTCTGCAGGACGGGGGGCTCCAAGCCAGGCAGAGGCAGCTCTGGGGACCCATGGTGGGAAGATATCAGCACTCCCCTGGGAAGGGGAGATGGGGGCCTAAGCCCAAGGCTGCAGACAGACAGCAAGGCTGGAGGAGGAACAGGCAGGGCCAGGACCTGGTCTGGGCTCCACCCTGAGCACGCACTCCCAGGCCCAGGTACCCCTGCCCTCTATACCTGGCTTAACACCTGGAACTGGATCAGCAGCTCCATGCTGGCCAAGGACCACACCCTCACGCTCCCGTCATCACTGCACGTGGCGCAATGGGACTCGCTGGGGCTGAAGACCACCTCGTTCACCTGCAGGAAGCCAGTGTTTTGTTTGAGGCCACACAGCCATCAGGCAGAGAGGGGACACAGTGTGGCCAGGTTGTTCACCAGGGCATTGATCTCCCCCTCAAGTCTGCCTGGCCCCAACCCCTCCATGTGACATGAAGAAACTGTCCCAAGTGTCCCCAGATTAGACCAGAAGGGAGTCCAAATTACAAGAAGCCCACTGGTCATTTGAACATGACTGTCTACTTGCTAGGACACAGAAGGAACTGTCCTGACAGAATCTAAAACACAGTGATCCCAGAGGGCTACAGACTGAAGCAAAGGAGAGGGGCTCATCACAGCGGGAGGGGGTGGGGGGAAGGGGGCTGAGACTGTCTCGTGCGTGCACATGTGCACGGATATACGCACTGTGTCTATCAAAGGAAAATCAGGATCTTCAGTGTAAGAAAAAGAATACAGACACCAGGCACCATGGGACGAAATAAAACAGCCTAATGCTGAATTTGAATTTCAAGTGTAAGTATGAACTTATGCATTTCATCCTAAAGAATAATGATTTAGCTCTGTTTGGCTGAGAAGAGATGGGACCCTCTGGGCCTCAGACTGTGACCTCTAAGTTCAATTCCCATTGGCAAGGCCATGGGCTCTGGGACAGCCAAGTCTGGTCCTGGGTGGAGCTGCAGGGGGACAGCCTGGAGCACCTGTGGTCCACAGGAGAGGGAGGTCACCAGTGACCATCAGCTCAGGTCAAGGACTAACTAACCCCTGAGCTCACCCTAGTGGGTAGATAAACACATGTCCTATCTGTACCGCAGAAGCGTATTTAGCAATAAAAAGGAGTAAAGCAGTGACACTACAACTCGGGTGGACCTTGAAAACATGATGCCCCAGTGAGAAAAGCCAGACAGGAGTGTGTGTTTCTGTCCACATGAGCCATCAGAATAGGCAAACCCACAGACACAGGGTCAGCTAGTGCCTGCCAGGGGCTGGGGTGCTAAATGGGGGTGAGTATTTAATGGGTATGGTATTTCCTTCTGGAATGGAAGTGACTGGGACAAGGGTTGTATGGTTCTGTGAACGTTTCAAAAACCACTAACTTTAAACAGGTGAGTGTGTGGCACATAAATTATACTTCAATATAAAGCTGTTACCAAAAAAAGGGAAAAGCACATAATTGTCACCACTTCAGGTGGGAGTTCCTTTGATGGTTACTTTTATGTCCAAACAAACACAGACTCTTGGGAAAGAAGTCTCTGGGGCCAACTTGAAGAACCCGCCACTGGCCGAGGTCAGGACTCCACGAGCACTAAGAGAAGTAACAGCAGGGAAGCCGGACCCACGTTCCCACCCACCAGCCCCTAAAGACACTTGGAGAGTAATGGCTGCTGTTGGCAGATGCTGGGGACCTGGTCCACAAGGACAGACTTGTCCACCTGTGCCCCTTCCAAGCCTCAGGAAACCCATGAGCTCGCGAGGCCGCATCCCTCCTGAAGGAACGACAGCTCTGACTACTGCCCCCTAAAACCCCCGCCCTCAGACAAGGGCATCACCAAGAGGCACGAGCCCTCCGTGCTTCCTCGTGGGATGCACAGTGTTCCCAGGAGGAGGTGATGTTGGGACTGACCAGTGTTAACCAGACCCTGGCCTGGCCTCCAGACCTCTTGGACGCCAGAGAAGCAGGTCCAACAATGGTCATGGAGACTCCAGGGCAGATGACCTGATTTTTTCCACAAGTAAATTACAAAGGAAAAGAAGTGGCAGAAAAGAGGGAAGACTGAGAAGACCACAAGGCTCAGGGCTGTGAGTGGACACAGCATGGACCCCGTGCCCACAGGTGTGTGCAGTCCTCATCCAGGAACTCCTGGGACTTCCCAACTGGGCGTGGGCACGGAGTACCTGGGGGGGGGAATAGAGGGCTGGCTGCCTTGCCTGCACCAGGGGGAAGCCCCTTGGAGGCTTCTGCAACCTTACCTGGCTCCTGTGGCCACTGATGAGGCGGGTGCTGGTACCCTCGGCCCAGCTGACGTACCAGAGAGTGCCAGCCGTGGTGCCCACCACACCCATATCCATGCTGTCGTGGAAGACCGCGCTCACGACAGCCCCATCAAGGGTCAGCTCATGCTCCATGAACACAGAGTGAGACCTAGTGGGGCAGTGGGTCAAAGGGGTGGCAGTAGTGAGAGCTCAGGGAGCCAAATGGTTTGGCCCCTGGGCCCTGGCCTTGCCTGAGCATGTCCCATTGGGGACAGGCCCAGCTGGTGGCAGAGAGCTGGCTCACCTGGCACCGGAGCCCTTGCACCTCAGCTCTGGCACAGCCCCCACGGCCCACAGGCGCAGACGCCTGGTGTTGCTGCCGCTGACCAGCCGCGTACCTGAGCACAGCAGCACTCCTAGGGGCAGGAGGTGGTATGAGCCCTGTCTCCAGGTACCTAGAACCCAACATGGGGTCCCAGGGAGAGCCGAACCCCGAGCTATCAAGGGCCACAGGGGTTCCATGAGATACCCACCAATCTCACCGTCGTCGGCCTCCCAGACCAGGAAGCAGCGGCCAGCACGTGTGTCCCAAACGCACACCTGCCCAGCATTGGAGCCGCAGTACAGCAGGGGCGCAGGCCCGAAGCAGAGCGAGGTCAGCTCGCACGCCCCCACCTCCTCCGGGATGGGCTCCTGGTGGATCTGGAGGGACATGAGGGCAGCGTGGGTCAACGATGCCCTAGGGCCCAGCCTGAGCCCATCTTCCAAAACCTCCTCTGAACCTAGGCACCTGGAGGCTGACGTCAGCCCCAAGCTGCAGCAGGAGCCACAAGGTGACAGCACCCCGGCCCACACAGGCGAGCACACCACCATCCCAGGGGTCGAAGGCCACGCCATGGACTGGCTCCGGGAGGCACACAGAGGTCATGAGCTCACAGGTGGCTGTGCTCCACAGGGCCAGGGTGCGGTCACCATAGTCCCCTGGGGGAGATGCACAGAGTCAGCTACCCAGAGGTCCCAGTATAGGCAGGGGAGTCCGGAGGCCAGTGCCCCCCACCAACCTCCCTGCTGACCCAGTGTGACAAGAAACCCGTCATCTGGCGAGAAAGCCAGGGCTTGGACAGCAGTGCTGTGGTGAGAGATGAGCTGCCGGCAGGAGCCCCCTTGTACGTCCCAGAGGCGGATCTGGCAGTGCAAGGCAGTACTGCTCTGGACGGAGGCAGAGGCCAGGATCTGGAAGACAAAACAGCAGGTGGTGAGCAGAGAGGGGGCGAGCCACGGGCCCACCCTTGCTCTGGGTTAAGGGTGCCCCTCACAGCGCTCCAAAGGCGAGAACCAGAGGTGGTTCAAGGACCCAGCCTCTAAGGCGCACCTTGGCCCGGGGCGTTCAGGGTGGGGAGCGGGGTGGGCACCTGAGCATAGTGGCTGAGGGCCAGTGTGGAGATCTCCTCGGGGTGGCCAACCCAGTGCCGCTGGGCACCAGAGTGCAGGTCCTCCACCACCACCAGGCTGCCGCACGTGTAGGCGAAGAAGCCTGAGAGCAGGTAGGCAGTGCCATCAGCTGTGGCTGCAGTGCACCCCCCTGCCCCCACCCCAGACTCCTGATCAGGGGAGGCAAGTGTGTGTGAGCTGCAGCACCCAGTGCCACCAGGAGAACATGCCCACTCTGGGACCTGGCCTATAGGTGGTCGGAGCTGAGCCCCACCTTGCAGCTTCTGTGCTGCGGCCCCCACCTGTGTCTGGCCTCCAGACCATATTGGCCCGCCCGTTCCCATTGTAGCCCACGACAGCCTTCAGGTGCAGCCGCTCATCGCCAGTGGGGGATAAGGAGAGACCCTGTGAGGAAGTGGACCCAGGACACTGGTACCCCAGCACAGCCTGGCCACCCAACCCCTACCATCTCAGGCTCTGCCTGTCAGGCCGGGGCCTGGGATGGAGCCTTGGGAGGTATGTGCTCCCAGGAGGAGGCAAACAGAGAATTTTGGGCACCAAAGACAGTATAAGGTGGCCAGCCGGGGATGGGAGCTGGGTATGCAGACACAGAAGCAGATGGAGATGTGGGAGGCACCTGGGGCAGGGGGAGGCTGGGCAGGGACTGCAGGACCCAGGGGCTCTTAGGGAAGGTGACCTGGGCTGGGCAGGGCACAGGGAGGATGCAGAAGAGGAGGTAGGAGGGAGTCAGGATGGTGGGTTGGAGAGGGTGGGCTCAGCTAGGACATTGCCTGGATCTAGACGGCAAGACAGCAAGAGCCTTAACTAGCCTAGCAAGAGCACAGGGCTCAGGGCAGAGAGGTGACCCGTGTTGTGACTTGGAGCAACCCCAGCGAAACCCCATGGCATCTGTTTTTACTGGGGAGAAAGAGAATCCCCAGAAACTACAGGGCTGTGCTGCCCTGACCCCTGGGCCTCTGGGGGCTGTGAGGACCCCTCCAGCTGTGGCCAACCTTGGCCAGCGGGGAGGCCTTGTAGCGCGCCATGAAGTGCTTGTAGGAGTCTGGGCGGGTGGTGGGCTGGACCCTGGCTCTCCTGGTGCTGCAGGTAGCTGTTAGGGAGGGAGAGAGGCCACAAAATGTTATCAAACCACCTGTAACCAAACAGTGACTTGTCCCTGCAATCACTTTACCCTGGCTGGCGAGATGCCTGGGGTCAGAGGGCACAGTGATCCATGTCCCACCGTCCACCTAGCCCAATAGGGCTGCAGGCTCTACATCTGCCCTGTAGGTGAGCATGCCTTATCTCATAGAGCAAACCCCAGGCTGTCAGGGGCACTGCCCATTCTGAAACCATCTGAAGTCCACGGGGCACATGCACCTGGCCCCTGGTCCAGTTATAAATGAACTTGCCCCACCCTGCTGCACCTCCCCTGCTTACTGGGCCACCCATGGGAGTGGAAAGGCCTGCTGAGGTCCCAGGGGCCCCCTGTAAACCCTCAAGCCCCATCACCGGCCCTGCCAGCCTCCTTCTGCATAAGCACAGGTAGGCCTGAGGCCTGGCGGAGCTGCTCCAGGCCATGGCTCTTATCTGACATGGAGAAAGTGCCTGGGGAGGTAGGGGAGACAATGAGATGAGAGAACAGAGCCCCTCCCACCCCTCCCCTAGGTCTGAAGCAGCAAGGCGGTCAGGATGGGAGCTGGATGCCCATGCCCCCCAAAGCCCTCTCAGAATCCCTGCCCTCACCATCAAGGCCCTTGGAGGGCCTGGCACAGATGCCCAGCTGGGGTGGGGATGCCAAGGATGGCACAGGCACCTGCTGCCGGGGGAGCCCACTGGCCCCAGATACCACGTCCTCCAGCTGTCTTGCCCCGAGGCCTGAGGATGGAAGGAACCAAGCTGTGCTTAGGGCCTAAAGAGATCATAGCATGTGGCAGGAGGCATGCCTGGCCCCTCACCCCCACCAGCCCCAGGAAAAGAACAGTGCTCGGCCACCCACAGCAGCTACAGTGCTAGCACTAGATGTCACCACAGAGTCTGCCAGTGTGGTGGGACCACTCACTAGCCTTGCACGTTGGAGGGGCCTTGAGCGAGCCTTGAACGCTGCAGAGGCAACAAGAGAGGGTGTCAGGAGAGGAGGGCACAGCAGGAGGCCTGGTAGATGCAGGTCAAGGGCAGGTACTTGCCTTCCTAGGGGGGACCTCTCAGTGGGGGCCAAAATGTCCCAGAGAAAGATGGCGTCTCCCACACTGAGGAGCTGCTGCTGGTCAGGGGTGAAGGCCATGGCCTGCACAGGCTCTGAGTGGCCGATGTATACCTGGGGGCAGCAGTGTCACATACAGAGAGACCCCTGAGGCACAGCTGGGGACCCCACCGTCCTCCCAGCACCCAGGCCTGACAGAGAGTCTGGGGACCAACCAAGAGGCCCTCATGCAATGTCAGGCCCCAGCAGGCACAGGGGGAACCTGGGGGACTATCCTCCACCCTCCTTCCCACCCCCACCTTGCCATGCATCCGCCCAGGGCACACACCTGGCAGCTAGGGCTGGCCTGTGCCAAGTAGTCCCACACCTTGATGGCCCGGTCAGCAGCTGTTAGCAGGAAGCGGCCATCCCCACTGAGAGCTAGGGAGGAGCAGGCCACAGGGTGGACACAGCACAGCTGGGGGAGAAGATTAGAGCATATAGGACCACTAGACGGAGAAACCACTCTTCTCAGAGAATGCCACCTCTCAGGAGCAGCAGGTGGCCCAGGGCCCCCCTCCTCCAGGCACTGCAGGCACCAAGGCTGGACCCAGGAAGGATGGGGAGGCTAGGCTGCCAGCCACGGTCCTGGGCTCACCTCCCGGACCACACGGCCCGACGAGGCGTCTAGCACTGCGACCATGTTTGATGACGTGGACACCAGCAGGTGGCCAGGGGGTGTGGGGCCGAAGCAGACAACCATGGCTGAGTTCAGGCGGCTGCCAGCCAGGTCCAGGGCGCTGACATCAATCTTCAGCAGCTGAGGGAGAGCAGCGAGTGTCTCTGCCATGACCTCTGGGGAGAGCTTGAGCCCCCAGAGCCAAGGCCTGGGCTGTGGGCAGCCTTGGTCACCCATCCGGCACCCCACCCTGCCTGGCCCACCCATAGCTCATGCATCCTTTGTGCCCATGACGGGGGCAGGGCCAAGGTCCTCTTTGAAGTAAGCGTGGCCTCCCACTTTTGCCCTCACCATCCACCCTGGTGGATCCCAGGGGAGCCATGCAGCAACCAGTCTCAGGGGTACCCACTGGGTCTGTGGGCCAGGCTGGTGTGGCCCCATCCACACTGGACACACCTCATCCAGTGAAGCTGTGCCCATGACAGTCACCATGTACTTGGAGGGACCCACGAAGGCCAGCAGGCGGCTGTCCCCACTGACCGCCAGGGCACTGGGGCTCGGGCAGGCGTCCAGGCACACCACATTAGCTGCTGGCAGCACAAGGGGAGGCAGTCAGCTGGGCAGGCAGTGGGCACCACTGGCCAGGGACCCCTGCCCCCTCCCTCAACTACAGGTACCACCAGCCTGGGCTGGACAGATCCCGCAGCAGCCAGTGCATGGGGCCTGGATGTGAAGGCACCAAGACTTCAGTGGGCACTGCATACTGCCAGGATAGCTAGTAGTTCTCCTGGAGTGACCACCAAGTGACAGCCTGGCTAGCTAGAGTTACAGTGGCCATGGGAAAAAGCAGATGTCCTCAGGTGGGCCAACCCCTACTGCTGCTTATCTCCTCCTGGGGCAGGGTGGGCACAAACCCTCACTGACTTAATTTTGGGGGATTGGTGAGTCCTTAAACCATCTGCCCCAGCAGTCTGGATAGTGAGGCTATGGAATGCAGTTTACCACTGTCAGCGGGTGCCAGACGAGCCCCACCCCTATGGGGACCTGACCAGGGGATGGCTGGGAGACCAGGGTGGGACAGGGTGTGGAGGCCTGACCTGCCATACGCAGGATTCGGCACCAGGGGCCACCGATGTGGTACTGTGCCAGCGTGCCCTGAGAGCAGGAGCTGAACAGGAAGCTGCCGTCAGGGCTGGTGACCAGGCCGGTGATGGCTCCTTGGTGACATCTGTACCACACACAATGCCCTCCACTGTGGCCCTGAGCTGTATCATCTCAGACCTCCCACAGTTCGTCTGGCTGAGTCCCCAAGGAGCAGCAGAAGGCAGGGCTTCCTGGAGAAGGACAGTCCTCCCCAGCCCTACCTGGATGCCCACACACCCCAGGGAAACCCACACACCACCCCAGCTTCCACCATGGGTATCTGTGGGGCCAGGGACCAGCCAGGCACTCACCTATGCTCCACCAGGACCTCAGCAGCCTCCAGGCTGAAGGAGCGGACAGCCCCACTACTGAAGCCACAGAATAAGGTCGGCT